AGGCAATCAGATATTAACTGGATCAACTTTACCAATAAATGTTAGTATCCAGTTATATTCTGTGTATCTAAGAAATAATCCAGGCCTTTTTTGAAGCAATCCACTGAGCTGGCCAGAACCAACTCTTGAGGGAGTCTATTCCACATTTTCACAGCTCTCACTGTGAAGAAACCTTTCCGTGTTTGGAGATTAAATTACTTTTCCTCCAGACGTAAAGAGTGCCCCCTTGTCCTCTGTGATGACCTCAGGGTGAATAGCTCTACACCGAGTTCACTATATGAACCACTGATGTATTTATACATGTTGATCATATCCCCCCTTAATCTCCTCTTCTCAAGAGAGAATAAATTTAGTTCCTCTAATCTTTCCTCATAGTTGAGCTCCTCCATGCCTCTTATCAGTTTAGTTGCCCTTCTCTGTACTTTCTCAAGTTCCCCAATGTTCTTTTTGTGAATTGGTGCCCAAAACTGAACTGCATGTTCCAGATGAGGTTTACTAATGATTTGTACAGGAGTAATATCATATCTCTCTCTCTGGAGTCTATACCGCTTTTAATACAAGAGGGGATTTTGTTCGCTTTAGAAACCGCAGCTTGGCATTGCATGCCAACAATTGAATCAAAAGCTGTTTTATGGCCAGGTGTGGGCTACTGCTTCGTTATTTCTTCATCAATTAAGCAGGTTAAAGGTCTGGAGTTGATTCTAAGTCTGGTATTTGCATTTGGAATCTATTGCTGTGAACCTACATCATGCGTTCAAAGGAGCTGTCCATGCAAGTGACACAGGCCATTGTAAGGCTTCAAAAATGAAACAAATCCATCAGAGAGATAGCAGCAACATTAGGAGTGACCAAATCAATAGTTTGGTACATTCTGAGGAAAGAACACACTGGTGAGCTGAGCAACATAAAAAAGGCATGGACGTCCACGGAAGACAATAGTGGTGAATTATCGCAGAATGCTCTCTATGGTAAAGAACCATTCACAACATCCAGACAAGTGAAGGACACTCTTCAGGAGGTGGGCATATCATTGTCAAAGTCTACAATCAAGAGACGCACAAGAGCAAATACAGAGGGTTCACCACAAGGTGCAAACCATTCATAAGCCTGAAGAATAGAAAAGCCAAATTAGACTTTGCCAAAAAACATCTAAAAAAGCCAGACCAGTTTTGAAAGAGCATTCTTTGGACAGATGAAGCTAAGATTAATATGTGCCAGAATGACAGGAAGAAAAAAGTGTGGAGAAGGCTTGGCACAGCTCATTATCCAAAGCGAGGCAGTGTGATGGCATGGGCATGCATGGCTTCCAGTGGCACTGAGTCACTGGTGTTTATTGATGATGTGACAGAATACAGAAGCAGTCGGATGAATTCTGCAGTGTTTAGAGATATACTGTCAGCCCAGATTCAGCCAAATGCTGCAAAGTTGATTGGACGGCACTTTACAGTGCAGATGGACAATGATCCAAAACACACTACAAAAGCAACCCAGGAGCTTTTAAATGAAAAGAAGTGAAGTATTCTGCAATGGCCGAGTCAATCACCTGATCTCAACCCATTTGAGCATGCATTTCACTTGCTGAATGCAAAACTAAAGGCAGAAAGACCCACAAACAAAGAACAACTGCAGACAGCTGCAGGTAGAGCCTAGCAAAGCATCGGAAAGGAGGAAACCCAGACTTTGGTAATGTCAATGGGTTCCGAACTTCAGCCAGTCATTGCCAGTAAAGGATTCTCAACAAAATATTAAAAATGAACATTTTATTAATGATTATATTCATTTGTCCAATTTTATTTGAGCCCCTGTAAATGGATGGACTGTGTATAAAAATGGTTACAGTTCCTAAAATTTGTACTTGATGTTTATGTTCCACCCCTTGAATTAAAGCTGAAACTTTGCACTTCAAATTCATTTGGATTGTTTCGTTTTAATTTTTTCTGGTGCAGAGTTTGAAAAAGCCGCCCGCCCGCTTGCCAAATTCGAGGAGAAATTCTTGTGTGGGCAAGCGGAGAGCACAGATGATGGATGGAGCGGCTGCACCTGCACTCCAAGCCTCATTGTGAAGCCGAGTTCTGGTTTCCAACTTCGGCACCGCCATTACATTGGCAGCGCCGCTGAGGGGACAGGTGTAGGAGAGGTCCGCTCTCCTCCACTGAGAGGAGACATCCTCTCCACCGCCATGAAGGACTCGAGGAGAGACCTGCTCTCCACCGCCTTGGGGGCATCACTGTAGAGAAACTACTGCACTGCCCTCACACAGAGCTCAGTGGCCTTAGTATACCTCTGAGCATAGGGCTACAAAATAAACTGTAAGACACTTGTTATTTACTGTTTCAAAACACATTGCTCTTCTTTGTATAATTTTCTGCTAAAATATGACTGGACTAACAAAATGAATAATAAAAAATTTAAAGTATTATACATGCGAAATGTGCCATCATACAGTCAGGCCATTAGATACCACCGAATATGTTCTGACCCAAGAGACAGAGATAAACATCTCGGGACACTTGCAGACGCCTTCCATAAGAAAGGTTACAAGGACAACTCTATCAACACCAGCATAAACACAGCCTTGAGAACACGAAGGGAAAATCTACTTCAGTACAAAGAAAAAAAAAAAACAAACAACCGTGTACCTCTAGTAACCACATACAACCCAGCACTAGAAGGGATAAGAAAAATAATCAAAGATTTACAACCCATCATAACAGAGGATGGAACTCTGAAAGAAATATTCCAACAACCCCCAATACTAGCTTTCAGGCAACCCCCCAACCTCAGAAATAAACTAAACAGTAGGAAACTTCCTTCTGATCATGATGTCACAAATAATGGAAGCACACCCTGCAATAGAAAACGTGGCAAACTGTGCAACCAAATCAATCCATGAAAAAGTGTCAGACACTCAAAAGGGATCTTCAATATTTTCGGATCATACAGCTGCACATCCAGTAATGTTGTGTACCTTATCCAGTGCAGAAAATGCAGCAAAGAATCTTATGTTGTCGAAACAGGACAGAAGTTGCAAACAAGGATGAATTTGCACAGACATACCATCAAGGAACATAAAGAAGATGACCTTTGCACACCTGTGGGACACCATTTCGCACAACCAGGCCACACAATGGGAGACCTCAATATTTTAGTCCTTAAAGGAAATTCCAAATCCATTCAGGAAAGAAAAACTTTTGAACTAAGAAGGATTATTCTATTTGACACAAGAGATAATGGCCTGAATTTGGATATGGGATTCCTCACTCATTATCCAAGTTTTATGACTATTAGCTCAAGCTTGACTCCCTCTGTGTGAGTGTAGTATTCCCCCCTTCACCTTTGTTGTATCTTATCTCTAGCCCTTTTTTTTTTTTTTTTCATCCCTTCCAACATTCTGCTGAAACTTTGTGATTTGTATAGTACTGCTTTGACTTTGAAGAAGGGGACATACCCCGAAAGCTTGTCCTCAAAATTGTATGTTAGTGCAAATAAAAAAAGTATCACGGACAGTACTTAATTGTTTCTAAAGTATTATACAAAAATCAGTTTAAGGAAAAACTGCAATAATAACTGAAAATATGTGCTCACTAACAAAAATCATATTGTCTTATTAAAAAGTTTATTTTTAAAGATGCAGAAGATTAAAAAAAAATGTTCACTACAGGTTTAAAGCTGTAAAACTTGATATTGTGATTGCATCCTATTGCTATTAAGCTATTGCTGTTAACTTTATGTCAATTTAAACATATGTTATAATTGCAGTTTTTTATATTTTTTGGACTCTTTATTCTAAAGAAACATGTAATTTCATAAGCTTTAAGGGGGCATGGTTGGGGGACAGGGCGGAGGTGAGGTTGGAGGCGGCCCTGGGCAAGGTTGGGTGGGGCAACTGGTGGAGAGTAAGGTTTGTGCCTGGCTAGTAGGTCTAGACTTGAAATTTTAAGCCCTGTTTCTAGTGGCATACAGAGCCAAAAGTATGAAAAATCGTGCCTGTGTCTAAATATATATGGACCTAACTGTATATGGTTGCCCTCAAAGAGCAGGTTGTATCTGTAAGACTAGATGTCAAGAGTCCCCCCACCATTAGCAGTCAAGAGTCCCCCACCCTCCCTTACATCATAGTGTACCCCCTTTTTTCATTATCCAAAAAATGATGACAAAAAAATTACGCAAAAAAACTTGCCATGCCTCTTACTAAATACCTTGGACTATCTACTTACCAAAAGGGGTCATTGGGGGTTATCTGTACTGTCCTTACATTTTTGGTCCTCAAGAGATATGCTGTCAGTACATCAGGAGTGACTGATTTTCAGATATGTACCATAGTTTGTGGACTCTATACAGTAACTTTCCTACAGACTAAATAATAAACACTGATTTGGGTTAGTTTCACCAAAGCAATGTATGAATAAAAATTATTTATTTGCAAAATTTTACAACAGAAACAAAGAAAAAATTTTTCTTCCCCCAACATTTCCAGTACGTTCATTTATTTAGCAAAAAAATAAAAACACAGTGGTGAAAAATACCACCAAAAGAAAGCTCTATTTGTGTGAAAAAAAATGATAAACACTACAGTGCTGCATGACAGCATAACTGTCATTCAAAGTGCGACAGCACTGAAAGCTGAAAATTGGCCTGGGCAGGAAGGGATAAATGTGCCTAGTATTGAAGCGGTTAAAAAATATCTATTTAACATGGAAACTTGCATGGAAACTGCCTGTTTATCCTAACTCTGAAAGGAAAAAAACAAGCGGTTTTAAATGTTCTTTAACATGAAGAAATATCTCTGATGCTTTGTCTTCTTTCAAAAGAGGGGCTTGCAGAGTGAACCATTTCCTTATCTAATTTTTGTAATATAATTTTGTGAATTCAAGTTGCAGTCTTTTCCTAAGTATACAACTATAAAAATAAATCTATGATGGGTGGTTTCCGGTTTTGTGAGACATTAAAAAACACAAAAATACAAATATTTGGCACGCATGCTTTATTTCCGAACAATCTCAAGAGTATGGAACAGAAGCTCTTTCCATTTGTTGATGCTTTACTAAAAAGAAGTAGTCAGTATAAGTCTTTCCACAGTGAGAGCAAATATATAATTTCTCTTGGCTGTGGATTTTTAAATGTTGGTCAAGTCCAAATTTGCGTGTAAACCTCTTCCCGCAATCATTACACTCATAGGGCTTTAGCCCAGTGTGAATTCTGGAATGGACATTGAGATTTGAGGCACTGGTAAAGGCTTTATTACATAGGATACATTTATGAAGCTTAGTTTCCATGTGGCTTTTTTGATGCCGGTAAAGACTTGAGCTATGGGCAAACCTACGAATGCAATACTTACACCCATATGGTTTATCTTCCATGACTCTTCCCTCAGTACTGTCCAAGGTTGGTGGATAAGATAAATTGTCATGTCCAGTGCTAGGGTTTGCTTCAGTATCACACAGTGGTAAGTCTGACCTATTACAGATGAATGCATTGAGGTCAGTGCTTTCTGTGTGAGTTGTAGCAGCACTGGCATAGACTACACTGCTGAGGTCCTGTGAATTATACAATGGCATGTCTTTCCATGGTTCTTCAATGGATACAGTTTTGATTGCTCCCTCAGCAGGATAGGATATCTTTACTCCAGATTCTTGTTCTAGTGGTAAAAGTTTATTCTCATTGGAATGATCTGTGTTTTCCTTGCCAGGTATGTCTCCTGCAAACCAAAATCAGAGCAATCAGGACAGTTAAATGTAATAATTACAATAACAATAGTACTAGGATATGTAATTCAGACCACAGTATGTAATAATTTGTACAGATCACCACCAGCACACAGCGCCCATCACATTTGTCATACTGCTCGGCACACTGAAACTGTACCACTAAATTACACTGGCTTTTGATAGAGAATTATCATTTGAGGACTGTATTTTACATTCAAATCACATTTCCCTAGCAGGTGACACTGCAAAATAGCTAGCCAACTGTTTTTTTCCCCTCAAGTTTTAATTGTCAGCAATTCTTTTGTTTACATTCTGCTGTAAATGGTTTTCAAGGATGCTGGTGGCAGCCCGTTAAGAAAAAAAAAAGAAGACGGTGCTTAGCAGCAGTTAGGAGCATTTAGCATTTTTTTTTTCTGCCGGAAAATTACTCCCAAAAACGCAAACAAAAAAATTGTTTTTTCGGCTCCTCCTAAGGCTTAAAACCACTGAGGCTTAAACTTCTAACCACTCAAAACGCTGCTGCTAGGAGTGTTTTTTAAGCTAGTGTGCATGGAGCCTTATACTGTTGCATACAGAAGGTTGGTACAATGGCAAAACAAAAAAAATTTGCAGCCAGCACCTATATAACCCTGCTTCTAATGCCTTAGTTTTGTGAGTAAGGAGTGCAAAGAGCCAAAAACCCCTGTATTACTGCCAGAATGCAGCACTGTATACTGCATACAGTGCTCCGAGTGGGCAGATATGGAAATAGTTCCTTTGGTCCAGCTTGGTCCAAACAATCTATTTAAAGTCATAGGAAAACCTGGAGTTAGGTTTTAAGCTGTAAAAAAGTGAAGGGCGTTACATCTGAATTTTCTTTAGGGAGAGGGGGTAGAGTGATGAACAGCACCTGCATAAATATGAAAGCAGGGATAAGGATACATTGTACCCCAACTGGTGTACAAGAACACTAGAAGGATGAGTAGAACTGCATTTAACTAATACTGTACTTAGTTTTTTTTTTTCTGTAGTGTGACAAATACTCTGAAAGCCTCAGCCATTATGAACTATAGGATTCTAAGATCCATTCAACCTACCCCTGTAAAGAGCAGAATCCTTCACCAAGGAGTGAGAGGATGGAATCCTAGTACTAGTAACATTCACCTGATAAAGAATACAAGAAAAGGAAGAGACATAAGGAGACTTCCTAAAAAGACTGCAACTCTGCCACAGTAGGAGGACTCCCAACAGTTAGGTCGCAAGAAGGCATCTGGACTCGCACTATCCCCTTTAGGGGGAATTCTCACATTTTTCCGAAGATCAAGGCCTAGCAGAATCCAGAGTATGTCCAGCAGAGGTTGGACTGTCCAACAGAAGGAACCTCTGACAACTCCGGAACAGTCTGTTCTCAAGGGCTATGCAAAAGGATATGTCCATTAGAGATGTCCTCACAGGATAAAGGGAAAGAACCAATGGCAAATAATGTCCAGGAGATCATGGTCCAAAAGAGACCAACTTTGTGTCTTGCATAGATTCCTAATGTCCAAACCCAGAGGGAGGGGCTAAAAGGGATTGAGACACCATATGTGAAGGTAAATGCCCTCTAAAGTGGGGATACTCCAACAATTCTACAAACCCTGAAAAGGCAACCCAACAGTACTAATTCTAGACACCGGACAAGCCTCATTTAAATGAGGTTTGCAGACAATAAGACCCCCTGTGCAGTTGACAGTGCAAACATCTAGGAAACTGGCCCTCATCTTCAAGCCGGTCCTGAGCAATTCACAAGGAAGATGCCAATAAAAAAGACACTAGGATGGACATAAGGCCCTAGGTCATAAGCAGAGTTAAATGCTGGCAGACGATACTGAACAATCTGGTCCTCACTAGAGAAGGGAACAGTAGGGACTGATCTCTGTCTACCTTGTAGGTTAAGAAGGATAGGTTTTAGAAGAGCCAAGCACTGCAGTGTGTGCAACTACCTGTGAGAGAAAAGGAGTCTCCTACTCTAGTAAAAGCATTTCCTTGAGACTGGTTTTCCCATTTAAGCTCACACTCCTCTTTGCAGTAATCAGAGAACTCAGGGTGCAAGAAATCCAAACAAACCTGGAAAAATGCACAATTGTTGCTTTGATACCAGAAGATTGAGCAGGGCTAACTAAAGGAGGTGGTTGACTCAAGGGTCTAGAAGGGGGAAACCTAAGCACCGAAATGCAGAGAAGGCAAACTATCATGAAACCAAGGTGCCCCTCACTTACAGAAGTGGGGGTACACCTTCAAGCAGAATGTTGAACAGGAGGAAAAGAGAATTTCTAGCTTTAAGATCTGCAGTTTCAGTGGAAGGTAGGCTGGATGACATCAGCACTCAATTTCCTCAGTCTCAACCCTTATCGTGAGAAAAAAAACAGTTGCAGGAAATTTAAAAAGTCACCCAACAGTACCAAGTGCTCCTAATGCTTTAGCTCACCTGGCTTTACTCACTATGTGAGTCATCAAAGACAGGGTCACACAACAGGCTGCTCCATGACACTGGACCTGGAAAGCATTCCAAGTCAAACAGTGGACAGGCCTGGAAAGCGTCCAGAAAGTGACTATATATAAATATGTTATTATACAGCCATATGCTATCAGGGTAGGTATATTCTTGATGTTCAAATAAAACAGCCAACTGCATTTTCCACACATACATAGTTGCTGTTTCTCAAAAAATATTCTGTAACTAAAGCAGCTTCAAAGCATTTAGAATATGTACATGGTTTTCTTTTATGATATAAATAGCACAGTAACTTCTCAGATCAAGACCTTTTTTGTAAAAGTTCATTTATAAACTATATACAGAAGATAATAGTAATTATGCACTGCACTCATACTTTTAACTTTGACTTAATCCTGCAGGGGTTTTTGCATAACCTTTTTAAAGCATAATAAAAAAATGATATTTCAGTTGTAAGTGAATGCAGATGGGTCAATCATGGTTTTCTAGAACCTTGGGGAATTCAGCATCGGTATCTTTCTTTCTGCAGTTCCATTACAAAGATAAAAAGATTCTTTGCATTTGGGAAAATTGAAAAATCAGCTGCTTTAAGTCCCTGCAAGATATGAGAAGTTGTTTCAACCACCAGATTCCACTAAATGTGAATTTTACTTAAAAAGAATCACAAAGCCTAAACATCTCCAAAACTTGTGCTGGAAGTGACAATTCTCCGTGACTCGCATGGTCTTATTTCATGAATTCTTACGTTCCGATACACATAGCTATTATTTCAAATTCACTGAGTTGAACTCCGATAAGTACAAGATCAGGCCAGCCTTTGGGATGTGAGACCTGAGCAGCCCCACAAGGCATATCACCCCTGCCCCATGAAGATGACATGACCAGTGCATTAGCACTACACTTTGAGGAGAACGTTGTTGGCATATCACCCCTGCTCCATGATGGGGCAACCACTGGCCCTGTGGACACCTGTATTGCACATTGCCACTATGTGAGGTGTCCTTGCAAAACCAGGGTTGTGCTGCTCATGGCTGTGAAGGACCACCCACACAGTGGTAAGACCTCAGATGCAGAGGGGAGGGAAGCTTTCATAAGTTTCTAATTGGTTTTGATGCATCACGACACAAAACCATGAAGGAAAGCTAGAAAGGACATACCTTCAATCTGATTTGGGTGGTGCTTTGCATCTTAGGTCTAGTAAGGGTTTTTGTTATTTTTTGTTTTCTTTTTTTTGTTTAATAGAGGGAGAGGGATTGGGTAAGCGACTCCTGGCTGTGAAGGCGGGCGGGGGGGAGTTGATTGGTGCTGCTGAAGTTACCCTTATGTGGTTTTTATTTCCTGCTTGTTTGCATATTATTACATTTGCACATTTGTTGCCAGTATATTGCTACAGTTGCCCGATTATTACTTCAACAGTCTCCTGTTTGTTGCCTTTGTATTATGCCCATCTGTCTTGTTGCCCAACTATTGTCTATCAACAGTGACTGTTTGTTGCCTGAGTATTGTATATGATTGTCAATTTGTAGCCCATGAATTGCCAGGCATGACTCTACATATTGTCATATCACTGCTGTTTAGCAGACAATATTTCTATAATGTAAGCAAGCAGGCCTATCACTATCAAATAAAATGGTATTACATTTTCAAATTGTATTTATTTATTTTTACCGCCATGATTCAAGGTTTAGGTAACAAGAAGATTGTCACCAACTTATATTTTTTTCTATTTGACAATTGCTGAAAATAATTTTGAGTAGGACTAAAATTTATTTATTAAAAATATACACCTTGGGCGTCAAATATACTAGGTAAGCCACTGCCTATAGGAAATATGTTGTTCATGTTATTGGTTATACTGTTTGATGTATCAGCTAACACAGTCTATAACTATAGCACTGCGCATGGCATTCTGGGTATTGCTTGGTTGTTGTTTTAAAATAACAGTGATTGTTCATTATAATACATCATCGGGAGATGTTTGAAAACTAGTGCAAGATTCAACCCACTGGAAACGAGTAAACTCTAAACTGATTTATAAGTTCTGAGTTGCATTAGCCTTTAAAGTATACGTAAACCCCAAATCTATTTTTCATTATAACATTTATAACTTAACAGCGCTGCTCTTAACATATATCTTATCAAATGACACATAACTTCTAAAATTCAGTCCATGTGCTTAATAGTCCAATAAACTGAAACAAGTGCAGTCCATAAACAAAGTGCAATAGTGCAATGACTTTTGATGGTGCTGGGATCGTGCTGTGCTCCCCTCCTTTGTTCCCCTACTCACCAACTACTCTTAAATACTAAGAGTCAAAATGCACAACTTTAAGTGTGGGTTCTTCTCTCTATCATTCCTTCAATCCACACCAGATTCAAAGATAATTATATGCAAAGAGGATCACAGAACTATACATAGCGTAATTCTGTGTTTTTTTATTAAAATTATTTAAAAATCAGGGTTACACTCACAATAATATCAATTAAAGAGGCATGTAATGCTAAACCGAAAGCGCTTCCACAGCGTGCATCCCACCAGCTGGATGTGATGTCACCAGAAGTCCCCGCCTAACACATTTCACCCCTTCCACAGGGCGTCGTCAGAAGCTGGGGCTGCAGGTAAATGGTTCTTTTATGTTACTCGCCGCTATTGCTCTTCCCCAAATCTCCACCCAATAAACCTTACTCCCGCGGCCATGATGGTATGTTTTGGTTGTACTCACATGCACATTCTACTTTACAAACTACCGGTCGTCATATTGGTGCACCAAATATATTCTTAATACGTATATAAAATCACAACAAAATACCAAATAAAATCATTAATAACCTCTACCCAATACGATCTCATCTCATTAAATACAAATAAAATATACTGTCTCCTTATACCATTGTTATATTCTACTCAATGCATTTCCCATACCAATCCTGTATGGCATGCAATATATTAAATTATTATATAAAATTATATATATGTACATACCCACTCTTTTATGAATGTACATACAGTGCATATTTATCTAGGGGAGATGTATTTCATATAAGCCCAGATTTTAATTAAAAACACTCTTTCGTAATAACCACAATATTCTGTGGATCCCGATTATTAAAAATTAATTTAAAAACAATTAATATCTATTTCTACATTCAAACCTCTGGGTATCATCGTATCTAACTGATAAATCCACTTGGTTTCATTTTGTGAGATAGTTTTTCTCATGTTGGCACCTCTGAAATGTTTTTCAATTCTATCTATTACACAGAATCTAAGTAGTGTTGGATCCCTATTATGAAACCTACGGAAATGGTCCGAAAGGCTATGGTAGCGGAACCCCTTTTTAATATTATTTATGTGTTCCCTCAACCTGGTTCTCAACCCTCTGGTTGTTCTGCCCACATACTGTAACCCACACGTACATTCTAATAAATACGGAACGTGTGTACTACTACACGTGATGAACTTTCTGATATTATATGTATACATATCTGATATACATAACCGATATTATTGTGAATGTAACCCAAATAATTTTTTAATAAAACAACAGAATTACACTATGTATATTTCTGTGATCCTCTATGCATATGATTATCTGTGAATCCTGCTGTGAATTGGAGGAACGATGGAGAGAAGAACCCACACTTAAAGTTGTTTATACAAGTGCATTTTGACTCTTAGTATTTAAGGGTCAACACCAGTTGGTGAGTAGGGGAACAAAGGAAGGGAGCACAGCATGATCACTGCACCATCAAAAGTCATTGCACTGTTGCACTTTGTTTATGGACTGCACTTGTTTCACTTTATTGGACAATTAAGCACATGGACTGAATTTTAGAAGTTGTGTGTCATTTGATAAAAAAATATATTAAGAGCAGCGCTGTTAAGTTATAAATTCATTCATTCTTTACAAACAGCAGTAGGTCTAGAATCTTCTACTATTCACATATTTATTGATATTGTATTACTGGTGTGATTTGGTAATCTGGTAGATTAATTTTTCACATTGCACTAGGTTTGATATTGTTATTTGACATAGCGTAGGGATATAATATATAATTTAGTTCCTTTTTCATTATGTTTGGCACCATGTCTCAATGCATACAGCTTTCTCAAAGATATGTTCACCTTCGGGAACGTTATATGTTCCATCCATTTTAGGGTGGAACATATAACATGTTCCCGCTCCTGCAGTCACACAGGAATCTGAGCCCTCTGTGTAACAGCAGTACAGGGATAAGTTCCCCATACCAGTTGTCACTTTTTGAAAAGAGCGTGGCCGTGCGGGGCTCCACCTACACAGCCGCATCATTCATTCACAGAGTTCTGTGAATGAATGAACTACTAGTACCAACATCCTTTGCAGCTGTTGGCTGGTAGTTCTCAGTGAACTACCACAACGCTGTTGAGCACTGTGTTGGTTCATTGATTCTTCCTGTCAATGTGAAACAGACAGATCACACTGACAGTCTTCAGGAGTCCTTCATGGCACCAGCGATCTGCTGATCACTGGCACAATGCTTTCCAGGCTTCTAAACAAAAAAACAAAAAAAAAGTAAATTCACATTTTATTAGAGGCTGACAGCACTAAGTAGCTACGTCACAATTAGAAGCAGTATTGTCAGCTTGTCATGTTTGTTTAGTTCAGTTAACCTCTTGCCGACCGCGCATAGCCGAATGACGGCTTCACCACGGCCGGCGATCTCCATGATCGCTGTGTCCTACGGACACAGCTGATCACGAGATGTGGTAAAAGGCCGATCATACCGGCCTTTTACCACGTGATCAGCGGTGTCCAATGACACGCTGATCACAGGGAAATGCAAGTGCCGGTTCTCGGCTGCACTTTCCTCACGCTGTCAGATCGTGAGGAAAGTACTGCCGAGAACCGGCAGTTGTCAGAGCGGGGATCGGCACCGATCATCAGGGCACTGATGGTCAGTGCCCTGATGATCGGTGCCCAGCAGTGACACCCGCAAGTTCCGCCCAGCAGTGCGCCCACTAGCTCCGCCCACCCGTGCCCAGCAGTGCCCCCACCTGTGCCCAGCAGTGCACCCACCTGTGCCACTCTGCAGTGCCACCTACCTGTGCCCAGAAGTGCCACCTACATGTGCCCAGCAGTGCCACCCACCTGTGCCCACCCACCTGTGCCCACCAGTGCCACCCACCTGTGCCCACCAGTGCCACCCACCTGTGCCCACCCACCAGTGCTGCCCACCAGTGCCACCCACCAGTGCAGCCCAGCAGTGCTGCCAGTCAGTGCCACCAGTCAGTGCCCAGGGGTTGTGCCAGTCAGTGCCGCCAGTCAGTGCCCAGCAGTGATGCCAGTCAGTGCCGTCTATCAGTACCCATAATCAGTGTCACCTATCAGTGCCGCCTATCAGTGTTGCATATCAGTGCCACCTATCCGTGACCCCTAATTAGTGCTGTCTATCAGTGCCGCCTATCCGTGCCACCTCATTAGTACTGCCTATCAGTGCCCTTTAGTGCTGCCTATCAGTGCCCATCAGTGCCGCCTATCAGTGCCCATCAGTGCTGCCTCATCAACGCACATCAGTGAAGGAGAAAAAATACCTGTTTGAAAAATTTTATAAAAGAAACAAATAAACTTTTTTTTTTTTTTTTTCAAATTTTTTGCACTTTTTTTATTTATAGCGCAAAAAGTAAAGTGCCCAGTGGCGATTAAATACCACCAAAAGAAAGCTCTATTGGTGAGAAAAAAATGATCAAAATTTCATATGGGTACAATGTTGCATGACTGCGCAATTGTCAATCAAAGTGCGGCAGCGCTGAAAGCTGAAAATTGGCCTGGTAAGGAAGGGGGTATAAGTGCCTGGTAGGCAAGTGGTTAAGTTTGGCTGCCTGCGCTTCTTAAAGTGGTAGTAAACCGTGATCTTTAAAAAAAAAAAAAAAAAAAACCTGCAAGACAATGGCATAATGTGTTAGTATGTATCACCGCTGACAGGGCTTCCAGTGGCTTGAATGGCCGAGCAGCGATAATGTCACTCCTGCCCATGCGTGCAAAAGTCACTTTTTACGGCACATAGCTCTGAAGGAACAGCTTCTTTCAGAGCACATGCACCGGTGTCTTTTACAAGTAAATATCTCCTAAACAGTGCACGTTTAGGAGATATTCACAGTACCTACAGGTAAGCCTCATTATAGGTAGGTACAAAGGAAAAAAAAACGACTTTACTAACACTTTAAGTTAGGTTGGCTGCCTAACATGTCTGCAGGAGGTATGTGCAGATCTGAAAAGGGCAGTCCAATGGCCTACTATATTACTATTTTCCTTTGTGCTGCTTAATTTTTGCATGAATATTTTTTTCTGTATAAATTGCACATTTGTCAGTAAACTTTATTCCTTTAATATATTATTCTATTATTCCATCACAAGACAAATTTTAACTTTGTTGTTTCAATATAACCTCAAAACTAGAAATGTTGACTACATTGATAAAAAAAAACAAACACACAAAAAAACAGACCTTTTTCAGGCTTCTTTTCAATCCAAAAAGAACTTTCTTTCTCATTCTTGAAATTACTGGATACCAAATGCTGTTTCAAAAGAAAAGAATGTTCAGCAAACACAAACATTTATAAGAGTTTACAAACTTTTTTGCCAAATCTGTATTAATTTTCATTTAAAAATCAATACTAAACAAGTGCGAAGGCATCAGAGGAAGATCATAACCGCCTTCACAATGACCAAACAAAGCTCTACTACAGTCAGGTCCATAAATATTGGGACATCGACACAATTCTAACATTTTTGGGTCTATGAACCACCACAATGGATTTGAAATGAAACAAACAAGATGTGCTTTAACTGCAGATTGTCAGCTTTAATTTTAAGGGTATTTACATCCAAATCAGGTGAACGGTGTAGGAATTACAACAGTTTGCATATGTGCCTCCCACGTGTTAAGGGACCAAAAGAAATGGGACAAAATAATAATCACAAATTAAACTTTCACTTTTTAATACTTGGTTGCAAATCCTTTGCAGTCAATTACAGCCTGAAATCTGGAACGCATAGACATCGCCAGACGCTGGGTTTCATCCCTGGTGATGCTCTGCCAGGCCTCTACTGCAATTGTCTTCAGTTCCTGCTTGTTCTTGGGGCATTTTCCCTTCAGTTTTGTCTTCAGCAAGCGAAATGCATGCTCAATCGGATTCAGGTCAGGTGATTGACTTGGCCATTGTATAACATTCCACTTCTTTCCCTTAAAAAACTCTTTGGTTGCTTTTGCAGTATGCTCTGGGGCATTGTCCATCTGCACTGTGAAGCGGTGTCCAATGAGTTCTGAAGCATTTGGCAGAATATGAGCAGATAATATTGCCCGAAACACTTCAGAATTCTACCTGCTGCTTTTGTCAGCAGTCACATCATCAATAAATACAAGAGAACCAGTTCCATTGGCAGCCATACATGCCCACGCCATGACACTACCACCACCATGCTTCACTGATGAGGTGGTATGCTTAGTATCATGAGCAGTTCCTTTCCTTCTCCATACTCTTCTCTTCCTATCACTCTGGTACAAGTTGATCTTGGTCTCATCTGTCCATAGGATGTTGTTCCAGAACTGTGAAGGCTTTTTTAGATGTCGTTTGGCAAACTCTAATCTGGCCTTCCTGTTTTTGAGGCTCACCAATGGTTTACATCTTGTGGTGAACCCTCTGTATTCACTCTGGTGAAGTCTTCTCTTGATTGTTGTTTTTGACACACATACATATACCTACCTCCTGGAGAGTGTTCTTGATCTGGCCAACTGTTGTGAAGGGTGTTTTCTTCACCAGGGAAAGAATTCTTCGGTCATCCACCACAGTTGTTTTCCGTGGTCTTCCGGGTCTTTTGGTGTTGCTGGGCTCACCAGTGCGTTCCTTCTTTTTAAGAATCTTCCAAACAGTTGTTTTGGCCACGCCTAATGTTTTTGCTATCTCTCTGATGGGTTTGTTTTGTTTTTTCAGCCTAAAGATGGCTTGCTTCACTGATAGTGACAACTCTTTGGAGCTCATCTTGAGAGTTGACAGCAACAGATTCCAAATGAAACGAGCACACTTGAAATGAACTCTGGACCTTTTATCTGCTCATTGTAATTGGGATAACGAGGGAATAACACACACCTGGCCATGGAACAGCTGAGAAGCCAATTGTCCCATTACTTTTGGTCCCTTAACAAGTGGGAGGCACATATGCAAACTGTTGTAATTCCTACACCGTTCACCTGATTTGGATGTAAATACCCTCAAATTAAAGCTGACAGTCTGCAGTTAAAGAAGCACATCGTGTTTGTTTCATTTTCAAATCCATTGTGGTGGTGTATAGAGCCAAAAATGTTAGAATTGTGTCGATGTCCCAATATTTATGGACCTGACTATAATTGACCCTTAGGAGTGGAAGCAAAGTAATAGAAAGTAAGTTAAAGGAGTAAACATACCCATAAGTAATTAATTGACACAGCAAGACAATGGGCTACTAGGGAAGGGCTATTGACCGGAAAGGCAACATGGATATGGGGATTAAGTAGAAGAAGCAGATGAATGTGGCTCCACATTTAACTGGAGTTTACCTAGGGAATTGATGAGTTCAGCTTTTAGGTACCAATCGGTATAGTGGAAAGGTTGCATGTGGGAGGACAGTTCCATTGGGGAGAAAAAGTATTTCATAAATCATCTCCATCTCCACAAATAAATAATAAATAAATCTGAGAATGAAACGTTGAGTAAATTTGAAGTTTTGGACAATAGTGTCTAGTTTCTCAGTAGCAAACAAGATCATTAGGGCCTGCTTGATAGTTGATAGCAGTGGTGGTGAGGGCTGGATCCATGCTTGCAGGATTTACCTGCGTCCACCAAGAGACAACTGTGAGCCCAATGAAGGAGATAGTGGTGCATAGAGGAGTGCTCAGAGGTCGGTGAGTTTTCAAATCTGAAGATACAGAGCATGGGGTACTTGAGGGCTTCTACCGCATAGAATTTTGCTATATATGCCAAGACTTTGTCCCTAAATGCAGAAATCTACAGGCATTCCCAAAGGTGGTGGAATAAAGTGGATCAAGAAATAGGGCACCATCAGCAGCTGGAGTGTGATGGTTCTGCCTTACTGATACTAAAAGGATAGCAGGCATGACATGATGCACACGTTTAAATTGAGTTTCTCATCATGTTTCACTGATTATAAGATTGGAAATTTTTTGGTAGTTGGTTGTCACAACGCTTCTGAATTGCTGCTTACGGAGGACAGAGATCCAAGGTTTAAAAGGAGTGAGGTGATATTTTGCTGTTTGATGAGTAATGTGGTAAGAGTAGAGGTCAGAAATGGAGTACTTATCATTGCAGAGCACTACCTCAAATGATTACTGCATAGGATCTTGTTGTTGCTATACCAGGTTTTATCGTAGCTAAGTAATTGATGGTAGTGGAAAATGTGAAAGCAAGGGAGGGAGTACTTGGTAGACAAGTCATAAATGATTTGAAAGCACCCAGGGCATGATTGGAGATCACTTTAACCCTAATGAGACCTTCTGAGTGTCCATTGGTGACATTCTTTATGGTCCTCGGATGGGGGGGGGGGGGACATGGGGTTGCCTTGAATAGGTAGGAAATGAGAGATGGCTGAGGGCAAACCCAGGAGTCTCTGCACTTCCTTCAAGGCTAAAACAGTGTCTCTGTTAACAAATGTTGGATCTTAAAGTACAAGGAAAAGGTTTAGTCTAGAATGAAGAACAGCCGGGAGGTTAAAACAGGGATACCAGAGCACTCTCTAGCATATAATTAGAGTAACGGGAGTGTCCCGTTAATCAGTATAGTTCTGTCTCAGTTACCAGGAAAGATTATAAAATCTAATGTTGGGCAGACCAGCTCAATATTCACTTTTTGAAGGGCAATGCGAGGCTTCTTATGACACCATATGAAGGCCAGGCGAGCGGAGTTAATTTTCTGCACACATCCAAGTATTTTAAAATGGTGAGTATAGTTTGCATCGGGTAAAGTAGTCTAGATAATGATACCATTTTAAAAAAGGTAACGTGCGAAACGGGAAGAGCTGCCCATGCTTCCAATGCCTGGACAACCTTGTTAATTAAGGGAGGGTAGTTGAGGTGGTACAAAGAAGATGGCTCCCGTTCAATTTAAATTTCCAAATAGGTGGTAAATTATTGTGCTATGCAGAATGGCAAGACGATAACCAATGTGT